CATCCCTCCAACATATATTGGTGTGGCTGAAGTTTCCCATGAGGACCAGGGCTTGTGAACATGAGGCTGCTACTCTCTGTCTATAGAGGGCCTCATCTGCTCAGGCTTCCTGGTCGGGTTGCCTGTAGCAGACCCCCACTATAATATCTCCTTTCCCTTTAATTCTGACCCATCTCTTGGCCAGCTCCTCATCCATCCCCAGGCAGAGCTCCACGCACTCCAGCTGGTCATTGACATAGAGGGCGACCCCTCCTCCTTGTCTCCCTACCTGTCCTTTCTAAAGAGCCTGTGTCCTTCCATTCCAACACTCCAGTCGTAGGAGTCATCCCACCATATCTCTGTGATGCCAGTAAGATTGTTGCCCTGCAGGGCTTCATGTACAGAGACATGTCTAATAGCTTGAATTTTTTATACCTGATAACTAAAATGTTCAACTTAATTTGATACCCTGCTGAGGACAGTTAACTCTATCTAAATCTAGAAAGATCCTTTCTGGGCATCAAAATAAAATCAACTTGTCAAGCATGAGAAGAAGCATGTTTCAGCTTATTACAGCTCCCCATGAAAGATGTCTAAGCAGCTCCAAGAATAACAGAAAGTTGTGTATTGGTATGCAAGAAAGTGCCTGATAATCTGCTTGAGCAGATCTACTGAGTAGTCTTTATCTCCGCTGACTGGAAGTTAATGGTCAGCTTGCTGTATGACTGCCTACTAGAAAAAAAAAAAAAAATCTCATTTTGATGTTTGAGTAAGAGTAGATGTGTTGGATTAGATCAAAGACTCAGTTAGTCTACTATTTTTATCTACATTTATGACAAATAAATTGATAGGAAAATAACATAAGAAACAGGCAAGCAAAAGTGATCTAGTTCCTAGCTTGTCCTCACAGTGTTTGACAATCATTAACGAACTCTGTGCAAGAGGTTGCAATCGGAACAGTGTATCCCATTCCTTGATGTACGTAATCTTCATGACTTTGTCAAATTCCTTATTATTCTTATATAAAGGAAGTAAATTTTCATAAAATGCATCATTTAATTGGAAAACTTATTGTCCCAGCAAGCTGCAGAGTCTAAAAATATAAAAGGCTCCAGAAGAAGGTAGATAATAGATGCTTAAAAATTAAATTTGGTATTTTCCTGTTCTCTTATTACAAGACAAAATAAATAATTTAATAATTTCTTTAACCTTTCTGTCATCTCTCAGGCCAAAGACTCCTAGCCTGTGCAATATTTCCTTATATGGAAAACATTCCATTCCTCTGATAATCTTTGCCATCATTACATTAACATTTCTAATTTTACTAAGTATTATTGCTATTGCAGGACCAGAGCATCATGCATGATATACTGTTTTATTAAAAAAAATAAATAAATTGCTTTCCTTCCTATTCCTTTCTAATAAATCACTAATATTCTATTTCTCCTTTTGATCATGGCTAAAAATTGAGCTGTCATTATCAGAAAATTATTCTTTTGAACTCTCCTAGCCAAATGGCTATTATTAATTTCAGAAAAAAATAATAATCTGTCCATTGATAGCATTATTTTTTTCCCATGGATATATTTTATCTGCAGCTTTGTTATCCATATTCAGCAGTAGGACACACTATTAGTGCAAATCTTAACGATCCTGAGCAATTCTGTAGCAAATGTTTTTACTTTATCGTTTGTCCCCTCTTCCAGCATAAACCCCAGTGGCAATGCCTAGCCTTTGAAATGCTTATTTCTTTCCCCTATTTCTCATCTTTTAACAAGCTATTAATATAGAAGATTTCTTTTTTACTCCATGACAGCTTAGTTTCTTTAAGAGCAGACTTCATGAAAAACTTTTGGCTGTCCAAGGATATTATACCAACTAGATCATTCTTGCTATTACTCTTATTGCTTTCATTATGGTTTCTATCAAGTTGCCTAGCACAGAAGTTAGACTTGCTGAAGTACAGTTCAGATTTGTACCAAAACCTTCCTGAAAACTCCTTTGTTACAGAGACTGATTTAAACACTCACTTGTACATTCAGCAACACAGAACCTTAAACTCTGAGTTTCTTTCGCACTCCTGGGTTACTAATTATCCCTGATGTGATCATATTTTCTCCCTGCTACTAAGGAGAGACACCAGGAGGAGGAATTGTCTATAAGATATAAATAAAAACAGCAAACAAAACTTAGGTGTTTTTTAACTGTCCTGAGACATGTGTGTATATTTTTAGTTTATATTTGATTTAATTTACTGAGTAAATATAAATCCTGTATTAGTTCTGTAAGAAAAAGAAAACATGGTGACTGGACAGCAGTAGAGGACAAAATACAGATGCTGCCCAAATGGAAAAGCTCAAACAGCAAAAAGACATTTTGTGTTCTTCATGATTAATACTTCAAATCTGCTATAGGACTACTGCTGATGCTTAACTTTAATATGTAAACCAGAACACCTAAAAATAAATATTATATTAAAAATTTAAAATAATAATATGATATATTTTATCTCCATTTTAATGCACAAGAAAGAGGAAAGAAAAAAAACAACATTCTTGCCTATACATATTATCTTGTTTTTTCCTACAGAGCCTTTTCAAGCTCTCCCACTGTCATCTCCTCCTTTTGCAGATATGGAGTCTGAGAAACAGGTTGGTTTGGCCAAACTCAGCATCAAACAAGGGAGCAGAAGCCAGGTCTCCTTACTTTTGATCAGAAGTCTAAAGCAGTGCCTGGTGTATGCTGCCTGCAATGTACCAGTCTGGCTCCTATGGAAATAATGAATACCAGAAAAAAAATTTGAAGTTATTTAGAATGTACTTCATAATTATATATCTCCCCTTTCTTGGGGTGGGACAGGTCTCTCGGGTAAACACAGCACAGAAATTATAAGGAAAATAGTTAGCTAGACAAGTAGGAGAATTCCTCAGGACAAATAAAACCAGAAGTCAGACTTAGATGGTATAGAATCAGACTTGTTTTCATGGGTAACACGAGTTGGCTGGTGCCTTGGTTTACATACCTATGTAGGGTACCTAAAATTCGGCACTATGCATAGCAACTTTTAGATCATCTTTATGCAAAAATACCTTGACCCCCAGACTTACCAACAATTTAAATAAAAAATCTGCTAAATGGAGTCTTTGATGGCCTAAACTGTTATTTTTTTCTACAAGGAAAACAAACGGTTTTAATTGTGTTTAAACACCACATCAGTGTATTATTCTAGATACGTGCAGAAATTCAGTGAGGTGACCATTAACAGGTCTGATTTAACTGATTTACAAGCACTTATCCTGGGTGAATGGATACTATAGCATATGCTTTTGCCCTTCCCATGTCTTGGTAGTATATTTGTAAAGCACTATTGAATTTCAGGAGAATTTTTTTAATCACCTCTTTAACAATATATAATTATTGTTGACAGTAAACCAACTAAAATAAATACCTCTAGATTAATTAATGGTGACTTATAATTAAATACTACAGTACATAGAGATGGAGTGGTCCCGAGATAATATTGCTTTAGCTCTAATGAGTGTTTATCATTCTTGTTTGCTTTCACTGTGGCAGTTATCAAGGTTAGTTCCAAAATTTCTTAATTAAATGGAAATACATAGAAGGCACTGACTTAACAGAAAACAGATTAAAATATTTATGATTTAAGCATCATCTCAAAATATGCAGACTGCTGCCTTACAACTTTTTTGTCACAGTTTACCTATGGAGCTCAGTATTCTCTTTAAGTCATACCTTGACACTAAACAACACCATGGTGTGTTGTAGGATTGTTCCTGTTTCTTCGTCTCTGAAAGACAGGTGTACATTTTTAAATGGAAGCTTTGATAAAAGATTTCTGATTTCTGTCTCAGGCTTGACTAACAAGCCTCTGCATAGTAATTAAGTGATAGTAATTAAGTAAATCTCTTTATTGTATATTTTCAACATGTAGTCTGATGCTTAAATTAGATTCCTAATGGAATTAAAGACTCATATTCTTACCAAACTGCATAGGGAGTTTGGTACCTAGGAAATAATCTGACTTTCACCAGTCCCACACTTTCAGATGTCACCAGGAGCAGCAGATTCCACCACCCTCAGAAAAATTCCTTACACTTCCAATTGTTGCAGACTGAGACATGAATCAACGGGGGGGGGGGGAATTTTGTCTTTCAACTACAAGATGCTTATAAATGATTGCTAAAGCTTACCTGGTTCATAGAGGTAGTATTTATATGACGATACTAAATACCATATGATCATGATATATAAAATATCGAAACAGTGTGCATGAAATAATATACATAAAGCATTAAAATGAGCACTGAAAATCAGAACAAGATCATGGAAACAAAAAAATCAGGTCTTGTCTGGTCCCAGCCCAGTCTCTGTACTAACTGGTCTCAGTAGTTAAAGTTGGGCAACCTTGGGAAGAGAGGGAGGTTACCATTGTTTAAACCCTAAGTAAAAATAGAACGCTGATTGGGTTCAAATGAAAGCTGTTCTTAAATTAATTTGTATTTACAGATTCTTGCTGCCAGTCTAGATACTTCTTATGTTAAAGCACAGTTGCACAAAAATCTCTAAGGGGGACAGACCATTACAAATGCCCACCTGGTAGCTTTTTTAGGTGTAATGCAACAGTAAATAACATTCTGAAAAATAAAAAGTATAGAACACTTATACATGTCTAATATGTAACCAGAATAGTTATTTGGGAAACTGGAACAGAGCTGTTTGAAGAGTGTATTCACCCACTGCTGGTTCTTGGCCTGATTGTAGCTATGTGCTCGAAACATCATTTCTGCTACTTATTCTCCCTCCATGCAGCACCTTCCCTCCCCCACTCCCAGTCTGGCATCAGATTGTGCCAGCCTTGAACACTGCTGCAATTTACTGCTGAGTCACATCATTTCACTGCTGTCACAGAACATCAGCATCACTGCTCTGATAGGAATATTGCAACAACCTCTTGGCATCAGAAGAGAGAGAGGCTTCCAAGACACATGCACTGGAAAAGCTGAGTATAGCATGTTCTTTTAAGAAATCTGTCTCCCTTTTCAAAGGAAGTTTCCTGGGTTTTACGATCACTGGTTTGGAACAGGTCTTCCTGTGATTTCACTTCTGCTCACATGCTGTATCTCCAGAATGCCCAAAGGATCGATGTTCAAAGGCAATGGGCACTAGAAGAAACTTCCGTTGTTTATCATAGTGTTGCTGAAGTCTTCTGGGGTTGACAGATGCTGCTCCAGAAGGTTAATAAGATGAAGAAAGCTCTTCCAGCTGGACCATAAGAGGGATTATGTCTGAGCAGCAGATAAACAGATTATTCCAGAAACAGACACTGCTTCTTTTTAAAACTTCGTCACTCTTGTCTTACCACTCTGGTTCCCCAGGCTAGAACTGTGTGCGTTGGAGGCGTTTGTCCTGCTTTTGCATTCTGGCACCTGTTGCGCTCTTTCCATAGTTGCAATTCAATGCCATACAAGGCTGGAAACACCTGAAAAATAATAAGAGGGAAGACGTTTGGGGATTTTATTTCTTTAAGAAAAGAAAATTCTTCTACTTGACCTAAATATTCTTATTTTCTGCATGATTGATCTTGAAAACTGTGAATGACCAATAGACAGCATGCATTTGAAAATTGGATTAATATTTTTGATCATTTGCCTTGCTCTCCAAGTTCAGGGAAGCAGAGGTAAGTTCATATATTAAAGGTTTATATGAATTTACATTGCATTGGATAAAAAAATAATTGAAAGATCAGGTTATTTTCACATTACAGAATTCTTTGTTTGGAATTTGGTGTTTTGACAATTCAGCTAAAGACAGTACAGTTACTGACAGTGCTCTAAAGTTGGAAAAGGAAACATTGGCAAAGATTTCTTATGTGTGTTTCCCTGGCTTTACAATCTCGGTAAGAGATGCCATTTAGTTGCATATGTTCTGTTAAGAAAATATATAATTAAAAAAAAAAAACAATTATATGGAAGGGAAACAAAGTAGCTGAAAGAACATCTAAGTGCTGACATTGCTAAAGGTGGTTTGAAATGAAGAGAAAGTAGTAAAGCATGTCTTCACATTTACCTAGCCATTGTCAGAAACAACTTCAAAAACTTTTAGATGTACAAATTATGGAGGAATAAACCAAACTGGCAAATATACAGAAAACAGCAATACCAGTAAGGATTACTGTAATAATAGTTGTAAAATTATTTGCAAGAAAACAGAAATACAGACAACTCCTCTGTACTTAGTACAACAGCTAACTTGCTTCTTTTAAAAAAAAAAAAAAAAAAAAAAAAAAAAATGGTGGTGTGATTTTTTTCCCTGTTCGGTTTCATATTCAATAGATTTAGAGCTTGGGGGAACATGCTTCATTTTGGGGGAGCTTTTTTACTAACTCTTCCATCTATGCTTTGATATTTATGTATTTGAAATAAAAGTCAACATTACAACAGCTTTATGCTGGCCCAAGACGATGACCTATTTTATGTCAATCTCAGGCATGTTAATCAAATGCAAAAAAATGTAAAATAATAAAAGAGAAGTCTCCTCAATGGTATTTAAATATTTGTTAAAGAGACAGTTTGCTGGCAATACCACTTGGGAAGTTTTATTAAAGCATATTTTTTTTAGCTTGCTTTTGTTTGCACAGATTTTCTTTAGAAAATAAAGAACACAGTTCTTGTAACTCACTGAAATGATGTAAATCTTCTTTAGCGGACAATTATACTACTGAAAAAAATCCTTGGGAAAAAGTAACGTATTAGTTAATATTAGATTTATATTCTGTTGTTCTTTGATTTTACTTTTCAGTTTCATGTAAATGGTGTCATTTAATCATTAATCATATTTTAGAAATGTAGCAAAAAATGAGAGAATGATAGTTCGTGTCTAACAAGAAGAAAAGTTACATCAAAATGCTTTTGCATTTAAGTTGCATACTCTATGATGGCAAGAGATAGAATGAATTCCAGGTAATTCATGCATGTTTGATGGTATCATTGCAGTTCATATTTATAATTATGAACTGAGAAAGTGATAATTTAAAAAGCGGGATCACACAGTTTCTCCCACAGCAAATTGTAAGTGCATGTTACAATACATTTCCCATAAAAGACTGGCAATATGCAGAACTGCATATTATCCCCCTAAGAGATGCAGTAGAAGATTTGGTGCATGGAATATTTATCAAGACTCAGGAAACAATGACCAATAATTTCACATAGCATCCGGCTTATGTAGCAGTGTTTGTATTTTCTCATTTTAGATGGCTTTCAGAGGGGAAAAAATATTTCTTCTATACATGCATGTGAATGATAATTGGAAAAATTCCTTCTCACCAGTTTTATAAAGTACATGTGGTATGTGTGGATGCATAATAATTACTTTTTATTGCCACATAGTCATGCCATATATAATATTTTAAAACTATGTTATCTCAAATATATGCACTATCTCAAAACACTTGATGCTTTTGTGAAGAAACTTCTATACCAGAACAGGGTAAACTGAACTGTTAACAAAACTGTTATTTTATGACTTAGCATTAGGGTCAGATGCTTGCAGAGAATATTTTCAAAAGTACAGAAGCTCTTGCAGTAGTCTGAATAGTTATATTAATCACTCCTTAGTGATCTTAACATAAATGATTTGAGGCTTTTATGATTCCTCAAGTTTGCAGTACGTGTCATCTGTGAGAGACTAGGAAATAAGAGATTAAGATATAAAGACTCCCATCTTAAAAGAAAAAACCATAAAACTAATAATCTCTAAATATTTATAGGGTTACTCAGTTTATTTTTTTCCCTCATGAACAAAACTATTCTAAATTCAAATTCCTGATTTACTCATCTCTATACTTAACAAAAAGTGGGTTAACAGAAGTGGGGCTTGCTCAGTAGTATCTTTTGGTCCTTCCTCCCCATCTCTATTTTAGGACCAAAAGAGTCCTTGTCCCAGACGTTTGGAGGCTGTCCAAGAGCACCTCAAATTCCACAGTAAACAAACAGGAAACTATAGGGAGCAAACTAAAGAGTTTAGAGATAGAGTGTTTATCTTTGACTACAACTAGTGCCAGAATCAAGCAAATTACCTCAGGACTTGAACTCATGTCTTTGCCACTGTCCTGCCACAAACTGTCTCTAATAATGGGGAAGGGAAAGTGAGTGGAATAAAATTTTTGCAGCAACAAAAAAATCTATGTGCAAAATATGATCATAGAGTAATTTTTAAATGTTGAATTGTAAACCACTGAAAGCCCAGCCTAACTAGCAAAATACAGAGGAGCTTTGAATTCCCAAAACTATACGCTGATGCTGGGTACACCCTAGCACTTGATACTGAGAATATAAGGGAGCCAGAGTTCATTCAAGGCTGTTTGGGGTTATTTTTTATTCAGCAAGCAAATATCCACTATTTACTCAGCCATTCTTTAGGACACAAAGGCTTTGTGTGTGCTCTATGAAATCATTTTAATTCATTCTGACTTACCCCTTCCTGCTTGCCTGTTCCAATTCAGCAATAAGTGTTGCAGATCTTCATTACTATAATTGCCTTTGAAAAAAGGGTTAAGCAAATTTGTGCCAAAGGGAAAGGGAAGTCAAAGAACATAAAGCTTCAGAGGAAAAAAGAAAAAAAAAAAAAAAAAGACATCTGTTTTTTTGCACTAAGATTATCTTCTACTTTCATCAATAAAATTAGAATTATCAAGTTAAAGCTAGTTTTCCTGTTTGTGCTTATAAACAAATGAAAAGTAAACCCAAACAAATGTAACACTGGATTACATGTGGGTTTTAATCTTCTCTATTTCCTGGTTAAAGCCAGACTTGAATAAAAATACTAGAATATTATCACTGAATCTTACAGATTAATTCCAGATATAATCACACATATACTATAGTGATTAGTGAGCTATATGTGAATGAATTAGATGTGGGATTTTTTTCTCTGAAAACTCATGTGAACAAGATGATCACTGTTAATAATAAAAGGTTTTCTCATTTTACAGGACATTAGTTTACAGGCAACAATAAAGTAACTTTACTTGGAGTCTTAACCTGCTAGAAATCCAGATTATTGTTTATTCTGTTCTTCATTTCTCATCTATTTGTGGTGTCTTAGTGGGTTTAGCAGTACATTAAGCAGTATGATCAATATTCACCTGATGTAGCAAACAGACTGTCTTCTTCCCAGAAGGAAAACTGTATGCATTCTGCTGCATTTTGATGCTTTAAAATACTTTAAATGTATGTTTTCTCCTCTACTTTTATACCTCTATCCTATTTCCAGTCCCGTTGGTCTTAAAATGAGTATTCTACTCATTCTCTATCACACATTTTTTCCATTTTTATCAGGAATTAGGTCTACTATCCTACACGTTCCTACACTTCGTATTTTGCAAAGCCAGCTGTGTTTCAAATAATTTCTTCCCCTTAGGAATGTGTGCTATTGAAAAATACACTTACTAAAAAGAAATATCTATCTATCTGTCTGCTTGTATATACATATATACTGGCATTTTGTCACTATCAGCTGCTATTTACTGGACAGACACTTCACAACTTATCTGGAAAACATCAGATTAAAAATCATCTGAGAGTACCCTGACACCTGCCACAGTGTAGGTGTTTATAAACCCTTACATAACTGTAGGATGCCTTGTCACTTTATGCAAGCATACCACCAGTTTTAACCTTACCATAAACCTGCCTGACAGAGTAACATTACCATCTTCATCTTACAAAAACGTGAGGTCCTGTGGTGTAACACCGAAACTGAAACCCTGACCTGTAAGAAACATTGCAGTCATAAAGCAGGACTACAGCAGAGTTAAGCAGGCTGATTCTCAGACATGGATGTCTACAAACCAGTAGGACCCAGACTCATAGCTACATAGCTAATTGTACTAAGGCCACCATGCTTATCTTTTCAGTGGTCAGGTTGTACTGGATTTTTAATTCATATGTCAGCACAGAGCCAAAATTACTTTCTTTATTGGCCATTCTGAATCTTCAGTACCTCTCAGAATTTATCCAATTGTATATTAAAAATCTTGATAACCCTGTTACCTGAAATACCAGTTTTAGTGGGTATGCTCCATATATACCTGTAATACATATGAGTCAACATAGATCATAAAAGCTCTAGCAGTTTCAGGTAGGAAGCAATAATGCTTTGTGGTTACAGCACAAAATTAAGACAGTTCTAAACAACTTACTCTCCCTTTCCTCTTCTCCCTCAAAACCATATCAACTTCATCTAGCTCAGAAGTTGGCCATGCTTAGAGCAAGGAGTTGGACTAGATGACCTCCAGGTGTTCTCCCAACCTAACTCAGTCTTCACAGCTTGACGCATAACTAAAATTAAGTAAGGTTAAGTCCACTCTGTCAAAATGAGATGGAGTCAATTAGCCAGAGACTATAGATTGTATTTCAGGATGAGCGCCCCTAAACTATGAGTAAAACTGACCAGTTAAAATTACACAAGTTTGAGCAAGGAGATGGCACAGTGGCTTCTGGGTGTTGCTAGTTTTTTCATACTTCAACCATCCTAATTGTCATCATTTTTGAATACAGTCACCTCAGTAAGCCCATTCTGCACTATGTCTCACACCATCAAAATTGTTGAAATGTTGACATACATGGCAAAATATTTCTGGAACTTGAACTTATGCTCTCACTGACTTTCTCATAT